TCTACTATGCTCGGGAGCTACAGGTGACACTTCCTGGATGTTCCATATTATGAAGCAAAATTAAACATGTAATAAAATGCTTGTTTATAGAACGTATAATGTGACACTGGCTGAGGTCCTGGCTCTGGGGGCAGACTGCTTGGCTATGCCTTTTTAGCTGTGGGATCCTGAGTGAGGTCTCTCTCAGTGTGTAGAGCTCATTGCTTACAGAACAGAACAGAACAGAACAGAATGAAACAGAACAGAACAAGGAGCTGCTGGGAGGATTAGCGGTACTGGTCCTCATAAAATACTGGACACATCAGTGTCGGTTGCTATTATTGTTTTTATTTATGCCAGTTATGAGATGTTCTGAAATTCCAGTCCTCAATCTCAATAGAACTACCCTCTTCACTGTCTCCCTCCAGTCCTCAGGTCTCCAGATGACCCGACTGTGCTCTGTTTCTTAACATCTAAAAAACAACAGTGACTCACTGTTATGAGTGAGATGTCTATGGGGGTGAAGGATGCCTTTCAGAATACTCGCGGTTTTTGAATATCAGACCTGCAGAGTTATCTTCCTATATATGCTGCCATTGCCTTTAGCCCAGATATGCCTGATGCTAATTAACCACTTCCATGGAGAACTTAATGAGTGGCTTAATTAGGATCATCTTTGAGTAGCAGGCAGTAGCGTCTTGTGCCAGTTCCACGCTATTGGCCAGCTCTCCCTAGTTCCTCTGGCTGAGGAGGGAAGGTCTTATGCTTCTGTGTGTCTGTCTGCTCGCCTCAAGAAGGTTTCGGAAGTCCAGTGGCATCTGTGTTACATTCATGAGGTGTCACATGTGTGAAAACAGCCAGCATAACCACTCAAAATAAATCCATGGGGAAACTGAGATTGGTTATTGAATTTTTCTGATTGTGCTAAACAAGCAGGAAACATGTTGTTTGCAAGTTTTGAAAATGAGCCCATGCATTCTTCATATGACAGAGTATTTCATTTTTCTGCTGAAAGCTAAAGTATTTTCCTTCTGGCATCCTCATTTTGTAAAAAAATATATATATATTTGAAATATTGCTGCATTGTTACAGAATGAAATCTGCACTCCATTTTCTTTCTCTTCGCCCCCTCAGGAAAACAACTGAAAACAAGGCAAACGGAACACCTTCCTACCTTATTTTCCTCTAGTAGTGGAGGAGTTAGGCCCGGGAGGACCACCATATCACTCTCTTAAGCGAAGGGGAGTTAGGCCCGGGAGGACCACCACATCACCCTCTAAGCGAAGGGGAGTTAGGTTGGAAGGATCATAACTCCCTATGCCTTCCTCCAACCTTCCAAATGGACTGCAACCTTGCAACATGATAAGAAGTCAATACACAGGTAGCTTCTGTGTTATGGAAAGGGAAATTCTTTAAGTCGTGTTCACAGATGAGGACAGCAGTTGTGCAAGGGGTCAGCTTTCCTGAGCATGTTTGCCCATTTTGATTGTTACAGGCTTATAGATGACTTGGGGAGACGTTGAACTTCCCAGGAGGATCAGCTGAAATATTTTGTATCCAACAGATCGGCTGCTACTCCCAGGTGAAGTGGAACAGGATATAAGCGCCAGTGTTCCTGCTTACGTTCCTTCTGTGAACCTGCCTCTCACTTCTGAGGTGAAGCCAAAACCCACCGTGCAAAGAACTCTGAAGCAAATGGAAGAGGTACTCCCAGGGAATTCCATCGTGACAGTATGTGGGTTTTGCCCTTTCAGGGAAGCCCTGTACCTGCACCCTTTGCATTTTCCTTGGTTTGGGATAATTTAGAGTTGCAGTTGTTTAGTTGGTCTTGCTCGTTTCCATCTGTCCCTGACGTACATAGAGCAACAGTGTTTGCATATAGAAATCTGGTTTACCTCTGTAGTTCTGCGTAGGGTCTGCTCAGCAGGAAAGGACAGTTCCCTTCTCTCTCCTGGTCTGGCCTGGCTGTGCCTTCTCTATCATTTCTGAGGTCCTGTTAACCTTTGTATTAGGAAAGGTACGGACAGAAGGTAAACAAAATTCCAGTCTGAAATCCATTCCTGAAAGGAGGCAGAAGTTCATTTCTTGTATTTAAGCATTTGTAGAGAGTCCTACAGTGAACAGGTCAGTTCCTTAGAGTTATCAGAGATTAAAAGGCTCTGACTTGAATTCATTGACAACTGCTCAGTAATTGTTCATAGCCAGGCATGTGGAAGGCTGGGAAATGTCATTAAGCATAATTTTCAGAAGTGGGAGAATGGAATCTCTGCTATAGTTTATTCTTCCTAACGTATTACTTGAGAGCCATTTTTGCAATCCTTTTTTTTTTTAACAACTCTTCCTACCAGCATTAATAAATACACTGCAGGTGGTGCTGGGAAGTAACCTTTGCCCTGTTTAACATAGAAGGGATAAACACAGGCGTCGCTAAGGGCTCGTTATTAGCGCTTTCTAGCCAAATTCTAGGGTCCCTCTTTGGTTTCCTTAATCATTCTGGTGCTCTTGTAACGGTATATTCCGTTATGGAATCAGTCATTTAGTCAGAGAGGACATACACATTGCAGTCTTTAGTGGTCTTTTTTCTTATAATACTTTTGTCTACTGTACTGAAAAGTATACCCAAAATGCTTCAGGCTTGCATTGAACTCCCAAATTGGTTACTAGACAAATAAGTCTGGACAGCTACTTTCCAATATACCTTTTGAATTATAGATTATGTTCTTTGAGCTGTAAGAAACTAAAATTACAGGGCTTCTCTATATAGGAATCCGTTTCATTTTAAGGCTTGTTTATATTCTTGGCTAGGTTGTGACCATACAGGTTAGGCATGGCATCTAGTACCCTAAGAAATGCAATTACTTTGATGTCAGTTACAGAATATATGTATTTTGAGACAGTAGTTGAAGTTATTATAAATTAGTTTCAGTTAGTGGTTAAGAAGCTTCTTCTGGGATCTATCCCATAGCCAACAAAACTCAAATTACAACTACAAGTATTATACCTAGGGCCTTGCATTTATTAGGCAAGCATTTATTTCCCCCATTTTAAAAATTAATTTTTGAGACTCTCTCATGAAATGTATTTTCATTATGTTCACCCCTCAGCCCCTGACTTCTCATGGATACACCCCCTATCTCCCTCACCTCACCCTCCCACCCCCCAGTTTCACATACAGTGGTTTCCTGGACTGCATCTCTACCGTGTAACTTGCGCTGCTCTTGAACTTGTTCTGTAGCTCAGGCTAGCAGTTGTCTTGCCCCAACCTCCCAACTACTGATACTTTGTATGTAAGTTTCCAAGGCTGATATTTTGTATGTAAGCTTCATTTCTTTTTGTTTGCTTTGCTTGTGACCAGGTCTCACTAGGTAGCACAGGTCAGCCTCAAACATGTTCATTTTCCTGCTAGTGAGAGCTAAGATTATAGGTGTAATCATTATTTGTTGGAGAATTGTTTTAGAACCGCCTGGAATTACAACATTGAACCAATGCTTCCTTGGTTTAATAGAACAAATCTTATTTTCCCCACCTAAATCATTAAAAGAATGTAATCATCAGTTTCCGGCCGTGTCCTGTGAGGGGTCGTCAAGGAGCCTTTGCGTCTGGAGCTGGTAGCTGCTTTCAGTGGCTTCGTTCTGAGAAGTGCAGTGCGTTCTGTGCGTCGGCTTCCTCAGAATTGCCTTCTCAGAACCCACAGCTCTCGGGTACGGTTGGGGTCTGTTTGATTTTTCCCCATGATTTTGTTACTAGTTTATGTATGTGCATTTGTCTCTTAGAGAGAGACATTTTTTTAACACTTCTGGCTTATTATTTGTCAATAAATTTTTGCCTTCATCCTCTGTTTTAATACATTTTTTAGGTTTTGAACTGCTTTCTGGAGCAAGTTAAGTTCATAATAGTGAGAGTGAGATTATGGTTCCTTTGAAGAGACAGCCATGGAAGAGGGCAGTAGAGAAGCTCGAGGTTCTCTGTCTTCCATTTCACAATGGGATTCTAAATATTTTTCCACCAAGCTAGTTTATTTGCCACATCACTCTGTGTTCTAGCCTATAGCTAAATGCTACCGTTATTGATTTGAGCATTAGTTTTGTGTTCCTTAATTTGCCCATGTGGTATTATGAATGAAAATGTCTCCTCTTTTAGTAGCGTCCCTGTAAGAATCAGTCACATGAGCAATTTTACGGAAACTCAGTTTCCTAATAGTATACAGATTCTATTCCCATAGTGGTCACAAAAATTTTTCAATTAGACTTGAAATTAGATACCTGAAATCCACACATTTCTCTCAGCTCCTTAGGCAAAAATAACAAGTTAATAACTTAATTCACATTTGTTTTTTGTTTAGCAGCAGGGGAGTTGGTGTTGTATAGCAACGATCCTTCTCCAAAATAAGCCAGAATTTCAATTTGTAGTTGAAACGTTGTCACAGTAGAGCTTAAGATGCTGAAGTAAACCCACCTTGAAAGAAGAAAGCTTCCAGGCTGCTATGGCAGTCAACAGCTGGATGGTGGAGCAAGCACGCAGTCTGCCTGTGTTTGAAGGGGTACAATGATGCTTTCTGAATGGAGTGGCACATCTCATTACACTCGGAATCATGTATCTGTGTCTGTCGCTCCTGTGTGCCTCTATAAGCTTATGTTATTGCAACATAAAATGTCAGAATGAACTCAGAACGAAACAGACACGCAACACCTATTTACTCAGTAAACAAATACGTGTGTTCTTCCTACTAACTAGGAGTAACTTTGTGCTATAGTGACATGGTTTGAAGTCTGTCGTGGTCTGGATATGATCTGTCCCCCACAGACCCATGCCTTTGTATACGTGGCCCCCAACTGCTGGTGCTATTTTCGGGGAATCGGGGAAGTTTTGGAGGTTGGGCCCCAGCTGGAGGAAGTGAATCACTGGAGGTTGACTGGCCCAGCCTGTCTGCCCTCCTCTGTCCTGCTCGGTGTAGCTGTGAACAACACTGCAACATGTCCCACGTGATGACACCAAAAGGAAGGAAGCTGACCTTCCCTTGCTGTGTCTCCTTTCTTCTCTTTGGAATCTGACACTACTGCAAATGTGTAATATTTTGATTTTGCAGGGGCTCATGGTTTAGAGACACCCCGAGTCTCGGAAGTGACTCTGCTTTTGCATGTGTGAATGGTTGCAAAACTGCTTAAGGCTATAGGACTTTTGAAGTTGGACAGGATTTATTTTGCATTATAAAAAAAATCAAGAGCTCATGGAACTAGAAAGGAAATATCCTGGCATAAATGTGCAATGCACCATATAGCTTAATGTCTGAACATTTGGTCTTCAGCTAGTGACACTGTTTTTGGAGGTTGTGGAGCCTTTAGAAAGTGAGAGAAGTGTGATCACTGGAAATGGGGCTCAAGGTTGTATAGCCTGGTCTACATCCTTTCCTTGCTATACTTCCTGGTCCACATTGGCTGTCATATGCTCCCACCACCATGGAGCTATCTGCTGCCAATACTTTCCCAACCATGATGGGCTGTAGCCCTCAAAGTTTGAGCCAAATAAAAGTCTTTCCCCTTTTGTTGCTTTTGTGAGGTATTTTTGCATGATAACTCAAAATGAAGCTAATATAGTGTCCTTGTCTCTTTTCTCCTTTCTTAGCTCCTTTCCTACAACATGTCACAATGATCAAATCTTCCCTCCTATTCTTGACAAAAAGGAAACAAAAGAAGGAAAAGGTCACATCCCTTAGACCTTTCTTTGGCTGTGGTCTGTTCCTCTCCCCTTTTCCACTCAAATTTGTTAGTGCTTCTAGTTGAGTTCTTTTCCCTTCTGGTTTCTGCCCAACTCCATTAGTGCCTCTGTCTTTTCTCTTTTCTTTCCTCTTGCAATGAACTGCAGATTGCTTTGCTGTGGATGCCTACCTGAAAGTGTTCAGAATGAGGGAACCAGGTATAGTTCAGTGGCTCAGTCTTGGTGTGGGAAGTCCTTCTGTCTATGTGTTGCTTTTATGAATAAATCTGTTTCAGCCAGTGGCTTAGCAGAAAAGGATAAGGTGAGAGTTTCAAGCAGATAGAGGAAGAGAGAATAGTTGGAGTTAGGGAGAAGCCATGTAGCCACTAACAGGGACAGAAGCCTCCGCTGGAGCCTGCCAAAGCTTTGCTGGTAGGCCATGAACTCGTGGTAATGTACAAATTAGTGGAGATGGGTTAGTTTAGGATATAAGAGCAATCTAGAAATATGTTTAAGCTATTGGCCAAACAGCATTTCAAATAATATAGTTTCTGAGTGATTATTTCATGGTCTGGGCATCTGTGAATGAACAAGCAGCCTCCTGCCAGAGAGTCTGGTGTTTCCTTTTCTACATTTATGGAGCATGGACATTCATGCCTGTCCTGCCATGGAAATCTTTCCCTAGTCTCTTGATTTACTGACTCTCACAATTTGTCTCTATTCTCTGTGTGTTTCTGTAATTGTTCCTTCCATCCTCCTTTGGAGGTTTTTGTCTGCCCACTCCTAACAAGTCAGTGTTCCTCAGGGGTCCATCATATACCTGTGACTCTTCCCTCCTTGAATGCTTGAAGCAGTGTTCATCCTATATTCTTCCTATTAGGCTTATATCTCTAAATGGGCATGTCTAGCTTCAGGTCTTTTTTCCCTTGAGCTTAAAGTTTGCGTGTTTGGTTGCTTTTTTACTTCTATGTCTTCCAGGGATCTTCAGATGCACTGTGTTGACAGCTGAGTGTCCCTGCCTGTGCTTTCTCCTCTTCCATCTCGATGTCGTCAGTCACCAAGTGCTGCAAGAGCTGCTTTTTTCCTTTCTTTCTACTGGTGCTTCATTGTCTTTGTCTCGTGCTTAGACTACTGTAGCAGAGTTCTGAGGAGCCTTCTGACTCCAGACCCATCCCTTTGAATATACTGTCTATTTAAGCTACAGTGTGAGCTATTTAATTCTAATCTCCAATATAACTGGCCTCCTCTTCCTCCTCCTCTTCCTCCTCCCCTTCCTCCTCCTCCTCCCTTTCTTCCTTTTCCTCCTCCTCCTCCTCTTCTTCCTCTTCCTTTTTTTTTTTTTGGTGCTGCTAATACCTGCTTCATTATATGTGCTCATTAAACTCATTAAAAAGTTTGACGAAATGAAGGAAGTGCATTTAAGACCAAGTGTCTGTCCTACTTTCAAAAGATTCTTCAGGAGCTTTTCATCATCTATAAGATGCTGCTGCTACCTCGTCATTTCTTGCACCGTCCTTACAGTTATGCTCAGACAGTACTGAACTGCTTTCAGATATGAAATCCTGCACCTTGTGTTCATAACACGCTCCTGAAAGCCCTCCTGTCTGCAGAGCTGTTCCTCCCTCAGCCTGCTGACGGATTCTACCTAGGGATCCAGCCGTCTCTGATGCCTTCCCAGCCCACTCCAGTCTGGTCTATGTGAGATGCTCCTGTCACCACTCAAGCTCTTCCATCCCACACGTCACTCTCAGGGTGTGTCTCTGCTGACACAGTCTCTTAGTGACTTCACACAGGTCTTTCTTTATGTTCTAGGACCTCACACAGTGGCTAGGAATGTAGGGAAACGAACATTTTGGGAAGAATGAAAGATCCCTGAGTGACTGCAGGGGACTAGTCTTACACTTTGACTCAACAAAGCCATACTAGAAGCTCGTCCCCAAATGGCCTAAAATACTCTGAGGATCACACTCTGACTTTGCAAACATTTTTAGTTTCCTCTGTTGTGTTTCAGCATTTTGTTCGCATTCTAAGAAAATTATCCGCTCTAATGACAAACTTTAGAGTTCATTGCAAGTGGCTGTTTCTTGCATTGGCAAGTTCTAGCTTTCAGAAGTCTCTGTTTTTGCTGTTATTTTGGTTAATTCAAAATGTCTGTAGAAAATATGCAGTACAATGAGAATTCAACTATATGGGAAAAAATCCTTAAAGAAAAATCCTTTTTTTATTTAAGAGAGAATTTCTTCATCAGTAGTATCATAATGCAGCCACAGTGTGGACTGAATCTCAGGAAAATGGAGGCACATAAGAAGGCATGGGATGGGACCATCTCTGAAGAACTAACTTAGCCGTAGGAGTTGGCGTTGATCAGAAGTCTGAGAAGTCTAAGCTATGAGCCTTACTTTATCTGGACCACTAAGACAAGATGGTGGACAGTGAGGAGAGGGGATGTGGGGGCTGGGGGTATGTTCTGCAGGTGACATGCTCTGTCTTTCTCAGTTTTCCTAGTGAGGAGCATGCCACATGTCAGTGACATCCCTTGTTACTGTCTTCTCCTTACAGGGAAGCCTGGAGACCCAGGTTTTGCTGTACTCTGTTCTGTTCCCAGTACCTAATGCTAAGCAAGTGTTTACTGATGAATAAGTAAAGGTTGGGAGAGATGGAAGTGCATTATGTACCAGGGAGTAGGAAGGGCATGGTGTAACATCAGAGGGATTTCCATAGCTGAGAGACTTATTTAATTTAAAGTGATAGCCCAGCCTCTGTGGGATGCGGATGAAGGTCAGGTGTTCGCATGTGGTGAGCACGAATGTGTTCAGAGAATCAGGATGAGGTTCTGAATCGTAGTGCAGGACATAAGCCATATCCCTGCAACTCAGTAGATGTGCTCTCTCTTGCTTTTAGACGAGAGCATAAAGAGCTTCAAAAATCCTCCGAGACCGAAACAGTCACAGAGACAGAGTTTCCTCTACATCTAGGCCAGGATCAGGGAGAATCAGGTGTCTACATAGTTAGGCAGGATGGACTAGGGCCTGGTCTGCAGGTTTCAGTACTTCTACACAGAGTCGGCTTGGACGCTTGCATTCTGGACATGAACATCAAGTGTCATTGTGTGTGTGTGTTTCTTCATTGGAGCTAGTCTTATCAATAGCGCCCCTCTGTTATTTTGTGCTGAAGATATATCTAATTACAGAGAGCGACTGTGGCACATCAGCCACTTTCTTCTGCAGGCTAATTTGTGTGTGCGCAGCTGCTCCTTTGAAAACAGTCATGGCCTTGAGTCATTTTCAGTGGTAGCTGTGGGAACTGTGCAGCTTATTCAGAGAAGGACTTTTCTTCCAAAGAACCAATGTTTTTGAACTTGTTTTGTTTGTGTTTTTGAACAAATGTGGCTTTATTTGAAGCATATTGTCCTGGGTTCAAAAGTGGCCTATCTTATTTACTAGCCTTGGGCAAGTAAACCTTTCAAAGCTTCATGACTGGGAAGCAATAGTATCAGGACTTCAGTCAGCCTGGGCATAGTGAGCATGGCTCTAGAAGGCCTTGCTCTTTTCCTCCCTTCCCTCTGCCTTGCTAAACACCATTAGCTTATATTCCTAAAGCTAGCCACCAAGGTCTGTTCCTTTATTTGGCCACTTCCTCCTCCTGAGGCTGACTACCGAGGTATAGCTATCAATGTATTAAAGTTCAGCAATCACTTTGGCTATTCTAATTAACACACCCAAATTAAAATTAAACACCTCATCCTAACCCGAGGTTTCCCTGTTTGCCTTTATAAACCATTTCCTATCTGCTATGTCTGTCCGCTCTCTATCCAGAGGCAATCCTTTGCCTTCCTTCAGGACAAATTCTGTCCCCTCTCTCTTTTGTTCCCTTCACTCTCTCCCTCATCCTCTGTCTCCCCTCTTTGTCCTTTGACCCTCTATGGCAAATAAGTCTCCTTTATGGTGAGAACTTGGTCTTGGGGTGTCCTGAACTGATACTGATCCTTTCAGTAGATCCTAGCAGGGCTGATGGATGGAAGGATACTGTTGATACCCATGTGGTTCCTTGTACTAGGGCAGGCCCATGATAGTAACGCATTCACTGGCAGCCGTTGACTTTCCTCCCTAGGAAAGCACAGAGGAGAAGATCAGACCTCTGGAAATTGTTGGATCACAGCAGCTGATTTTATCGCTGCAGGGCGATGAGCAGCTGCGAGTCCGCTGTTAGCACTGTACACCTTGCTCCCTAATAGGACTCTGAACAGCGAGGCGGGAAAGCCGAGCTTTCCTGATCATCTTCCCACTGTAGCAGCAGCACAAGCCTCCGAGCAGCATGTTCCATTTTCACACACACTGCAGACGTTATTCGGGGAGATAATCTTCCATGCAAGAATGTTTAAAGCTGACACTAGCTAGCTGCAGGGCATTTTTTCATTTATTGCATAAGCTATAGTTTTCAATTATTTCCACACCACCATACATACAGAATTGATGAGGTGCTGTGTGATTTCATTGTGTCTCATATCATTGGCTTTAAGTGGGATTTTTCAGGGGTGAGTTAATGAGATTTAAGGCATTCTTTTCTGTTTACTGGAACATGTACTCTTGATAAACAAGCGAACAAATGAACAAACAGACAAACCTTTTCCCCATGCTGAGGACCACGCATAGAATCTTGTGTGTGCCTGGCAAGTGTTCTGTTGACTGAGCTTCACCCTCAGCTAGGGAACTATGCTTTGAGTGGCTCATCCATTAGAAGGCCTTTAAAGCTCATGCATGTATATAAACATGTACAAAACTACTTCCTTTCTTTGCAGGTAATCCAACTTACAGGTAAACTGTAATATGTAAAAAGGAAGTAAAAGGATGCTGGACTTTTAAATTTGATCATATGTGTTTTAATTTTGCCTGTTATGAGACAGGGGTATGGCTGTTATTTCAAGTATGGTAAATGCAGGGTGTTTTTAGTATCATTTAAAAAGATTACTTCATTAACAGATATTTTTTAGCAAATGACACAAAGGTTGGTCAAAACCTTAAGGTGTATTTCTTGTTTAATGGGTCCTTACGCCTCCATCTCTGACACTGCAGTGGGCAAAGAATGAACTGAAAGTGTGCAAAGTAGACCTGATTCTTGCCTTGGGGGTGGAATTAGTTAATGATACTCATTCAGATACAGCATGATACAAATGGGGCATATTAAGAGTCTTAAATTAGGTCAAATTGAATAATTGAATTTATTTCATTACTTAAAAACAGCTTAATCAGCTGTGAGTGCCGAAAGTCTAAAAAAAGTTTCATTAAATATTAATAGGCTGTTTATGTTTTCAACTTCATCTTCACTTCAGTGACTGTGTTTCTTTTTCCTTTGGTATATTTTTTTCAGATATTTGGAGATGAAGTACAGCCCTTCTTTCTTGATGAAGAATTTGATTATGACAATGTGACTCTCACTCCCAAGTTCACTGCTGGAGAGATAGCGTCTATCCAAGAGCTGGCGAAGCAAAAGATGATGGATACCAATACAGACTTTTGTGAACACCATGGCTGAGTCAATAGATGTCTCTGTGTTTAGTTTTATTTTGTCTATACTCACCCAACATTAGAATAAAGCATACAACAACTGATTCCCTCTGTGGAAATGTATACATCTGCATTCTTTTGTCTTTGTTGTTTATCACCAGGCCACAGAGCGACCAAGGCTGAAGGTATCACTTGCATTTCTGAATTCTCGTCTGTCCGTTGCTGTGTCCTGTGACTGGCTGGCAAGGTGGGACAGGGAAATGGGGACAGGAACTCAGGGTTGCTGAATCTGCATTGGATGAGGGTGCTGTCCAAGGGCATGTGCGTGTTGTACTGAAGACTGGGAACAGAACCGTTCTTATTATAGGTTCAGGACAATTGCCTGTTTCAAACATTATTATAATTAATAGAATCACTTATATATGTAGGTCTTTGGTCCTATGTGTCCAGAGATGGTGATATCTATCTGTGTGGTTGTTGAGAGATTAAGCTTCATGGAATTCTGGGATTAAAAACTTTACCATTAATTCATGTATGGTGGCCACAAAATACAGTGAGTGATCTTCAGAAGTTTAGCGTTGGAAAAGCAGAGCAACTAGAGAGTGTGAAATGATATCCTTCCTGGGTGCTGGTGAGAGGGCTCCGTAAGGTGCCTGCTGGGCAGACCTGATTTTAGCTCAGTCCCTGGAGCCATGTAAAGGTGGGAGGAGAGAAATGGCTCCATAGAGCTGTCCCCCAACTTCCATGTGGGTGCCAGGGCATGCAACCCATACACACCCTTCCCCCACTAAGAATAAATGGAAATTATAAATGTGTTATGGAATAGTAGTTATGCGGACTACTCACAAGGTTGCTAAGGGAATGGGTGGAGGGATAGAGAAGAGGCGATAAGGGGGGTGATATGTATGGAATCATATTTATTACTGAAGAAATCAGTAACAAATGGACTTGGTCTTATTTCTCTTTTAAGTAGACTTTACATTTTCACCATACATTCCCTTTCTCTGCTTCCGCATGGTTAACACCACACACCACAGAATATATTTGTTGCTGCTTTGTTTGGTTCTTTGCTATTGTTGCTGCTCTTCTTCTCCCATGGTAAGAACACTTCTGTAACATGTGGGCCGGCTTGTTGGGGTTTTTGTCCCGCTCGGTACCCCACAGCCGGCATATCCCAAAGAAAATCAATCACACAGAGATCTCTATAAGTTATAAAACTGATTGGCCCATTAGGTCAGGCTACTTATTAGCTCTTATAACTTATGTTACCCCATTATCCTTATCTACGTTAGCCACATGGCTCAGTACCTTTTCCAGCGGGGGCGGGGGGCAGCTTACATCTTTCCTCTCTGGTGGTCTGGGCAGAATTGTGGAGGGAGCTTCCTGCTTTCCAGACTACTCCCAGTCTCTTTGCTCCACCTCTACTTCCTGTCTGGCTTTCCCGCCTATACTGCCTGCCTGGCCAATCAGCGTTTTATTAAAATATGATTGACAGAATACAGACAATTCTCCCACACCACACTTCATATGAGATAAGAACACTTCACATGAAAGCCAGCATCTTTTTTTTATTTAAAAGATTTTTTTCTTCATTTTATATGCTAACCATAGTTCCTCCTTCCTCTCCTTCTGCTCCCCGCCCACCTCCCCTCCAACTCATCCCCATCCACTTCTCAGAAAGAGTTTGTCTTCCCATGGGGAGTCAACAAAGTCTGTCATACCAAGTTGAGGCAGGACCAGGCTGCTCCCTGCTATCCAGGCTGAGCAAGGTAACCCTCCGTGGGGAAGGGGCTCCAAAATGCCAGTTCATGCACTAAGGATAAATCCTGGTCCCACTGCCAGTGGCCCCACAGATTGCCCAAGCACAGAACTGTCACCCACTTTCAGAGGGCCTATCTCGGTCCTATGCAGGCTCTCCAGCTGTCAGTCCAGAGTCAGTGAGCTCCCACCAGCTCAGGTCAGCTGTCTCTGTGGGTTTCTCCATCATGGGCTTGATCCCTTTGAGAGTCAGCGTCCTAAGCGCTTGGGCACACAGTTCAGTGTTACAAACTGTACACAATATTGTGGCAGATCTCTAGGACTTGCCCACATGCTGCTGAAACCACATTCACTTATCTCCACGGCTTCTGACAGTAGCTGCTTTCTCTTCTGAGCTAGACTATTAGAGACACCCCATGGAAGTGGAGATGCAATATCTGCCCTTAAGAGACTCATGTATTTGACTTATAATATTTTTCAGATTCATTCACGTGGCCACATATGGAAGGATTTGCTCTTTTCAAAGGCTGATTAGAATTACATTCTATACATAGACCATTCTATTCATCAGCTGAACATTTAGGTTGTTTCTATATCCTGGTTCTTGTGAGTCACACTGCAGTTGTGCTTGGGGATGAGTGAGGAGTTGTGTGTGTTTATATTCATAAAAATGCTGTTTATAGACTGCACAAAAGAATTCTCTCAGTTTCATCTTTCAGAAGATTCACGTGATTTGCATATTTATTTTCATTGACTCAACAAGCTTTCTCCATTTATGACTCCAGCCTTATTTACAATCGGCAGTGAGGAAGATCTAAGCATTTTTGAGCCTTTTAGTGAGGATGAGAGATACATGCACGGACAATTTTGGCAGAGCTTCAGTGCCCAGTGTACCAGTCATTAGCTGCATCCTAGTGTGTGGAAAAGAGATGCAGCCACTGTGACCAAGGAGATGAGTTTCGTTATTTGATTTTTATTTCAGTATAAAACTAGAACATATTTAACTCACTTATCAGAAAGCTTTCAAGTAGATTTGGAACAATGTTGGAATGTGAATCTGCTTTTTCAGCTGTACATTTTGGAAATCAAAATGTTGGATTAATAATTATGTATGTACTAATATTATTTTTGATGACAATGTTGAGTCTTAATTTAAAATATGCTTCATTGAAGATATACATTGGCACTTGATGAGTTAATGCAAAAATATTAAATCACTTTTGCATTATGTGTTTGAGTGACTTAGATTACCTGGCTAAATGAAATATATTATTTAAATTTATCATATTCTTTTTACTTTTTAAATGAGGCTACCAGAAAGCATAAAATTATGCACACCATAGTCATGTTTTTATTTAGTGGTACCACAGCATATAGTGACCTGTGCCATAATCAAGTTGTACCAAGGGGTAGTGGAGCAGAGCAAGTTGAATGTATTTTTGCCTGGGGAGCTTATCAATCAATAATCAATTAATTTTGCTTTTGTCAATACCCAACAATAATTTAAGGCTTATTTTGTTTCATAGTTCAGAGAAACGCATTCTGTGATAGTGTGGAAGGCATGAAAACAGAGGTGGCTTCCTCCATGATGCCAACCAGGAAGCAGAGAAGGGGATGTCAGAGCTCAGCTGGCTTTCCCTTTTTATAGAAGGGAAAGTTTTTGTAGTTTTTTCCAAACTGCTCAGCCCTGAAATAACCACACAGAAACTGTATTGTTATTTAAATCACTGCTTGGCCCGTTAGCTCTATCTTCTTATTGACTAACTCTTACATATTAATTTAACCCATCTTCATTAATTTATATTTTACCATGAGGCTCAGGGCCTACTGGCAAGATTCCAATATGTCTGTCTCTGGTGGCCACTCCATGGCTTCTCCTCATTCCACTTTCTTCCTCCCAGCATTCAGCTTAGTTTTTTTCTACCTAACTCTACTCTGCCCTATTAGACCAAGCAGTTTCTTATTTCACTAACCAATAAAAGCAACACATAGACAGAAGGACCTCCAACATCATTTCCCCTTTTTTGTTTAAAAAGGAAGGTTTAAAGTTTAACAGCAAAATTACATATAACAAAAGAGTTAGCAAGCAAGAATTATAGTTACAATATTTATATATACTTTATCTTTTATCATAACTAAAGAAAACTATAGCTATCAATTCTTCAACTCCATCGAAGACCGCAGAAGGATATATTACCTAAGTAAAAAGGAAATGCATTGTAAGCAACTTCCAAAGCTCTAGAATTGACAGAGACATCTTGATGCCTGGATAGTCAACCAAAGTTCTTTTGCAACACTGGGGCATCCATCTTCAGCCTCCAGGTCCATAGTATCTAGGAGACTTTTTCACCAAGCAGGAAATTTCAAAGGCAATTCCACCTATATTGGAAGTTTGTCAGTCACTTTCCACTGTGTCCTGCAGAATGTCTGGCAGACTCTTTCATGAAACAGGAACCCTGAAGGATAGTCTCACCTTTAGGCAAGTTCAGCAGTCATTTCTCTGTGGGTCCTGCATGTCCAGTTCATACAGTATACCATCAAGCAGTCCAGGCAAGAGTAGTTTCTTGCCCAAATGACTAGCAAACTCCATATAGAGCCCATTTTTCTCTTGAATCTATTGATGCTACCAGAAGCAAATGTGTCTCATTGTCATGAAAAGTCTTGGTCTCTTAAAACATTTTAAATGCCATATTCTGAAGGTCTCTGAAATGTTTGAAGAAAATCTATCTAACTGAAATATATCTCTATATATCTAGAAAACCTAACTAATATGACTATAAGCTTGGCTATTATAGATGATTATCTATTAACCTATATTTCTTAATTATCCATTAAATTTTTTAATGAAATGGACAAACACAATACATATATATTGTGTATATATATATATATATATCACAAAATTGATCTTAGATTTGTACCAATAAACCAGGATTCATAGCAATGTGAATTCATGTTTATATCATATCCCTCTTTAAATGTAAACAAACATTTATAAATAATCATTTTGGGAATTTGGGCATAGTTCTCTCAAAACTGCTTCCTGCTTTTTATTGGTCAAAGTACTTTTGGAGGGTGTTCATGGTGACCTTTCAGGGGATCTTGTTCTATCAAACTGCTTTAAGTCTAGAAGAAATCCATGGGTTCT